CTCGAGTCGATACGCCCCCCTCGAACACCTGCCCTACCTCTATAAACGGTGGGAACGGTGGTCGAACGAGAATGAGAAAAATACCGACGAGGTGGCACGGGTTCGAGGACGACGAGGAGAGGCAAAAACGTTACACCTGCTCCGTCTGCGAGCTGGAATTCGCTAAGCACAGGGATTACAAGCGTCACATGGTGAAGCACAGTGACGCCCGCCCCTACATATGCGCCACCTGCGGCAAAGCTTTCAAACGTTCCTCGGAGATATGCAATCACAGGCGGATCCATCGTGATATCAAGTACTCGTGCGAGATATGCGGCTTCACGACCAACAACAAGATCTCGTTGAGGATGCACCATCGGCGTGTCCACGAGCGCGATTATCGTTACCGTTGCGACCAATGCGACAAGGGTTTCATGTCCAACTACGATCTGGAGGATCACAAGACCAGCCATCTCGAGACCAAGGCGTTCATCTGCGAGTTCTGCGGGAACGGTTACTCGCAGAGATCGTATTTGGTATCTCACAAACGGGTGATGCACGGGATCAAGATGAGCACGCCCAAGGCGTTCCAGTGCAACATATGCAACAAGAGAAGCTTCGCCACTGAGCAGGAGCTACGCAGCCATTTGAATCTGCACTCCCAGATGTTCCTGTGCGCGGAATGCGGCCAGAAATTCGCGACCAACTACGCTCTCAAGCTTCACTGCCGGAGGCACACCGGGGAGAAACCGTATCAGTGCCCGTTCTGCCCGAAAGCTTTCGCCAGGTCGCCCGCGCTCAGGGTCCATAAACTTACCCACACGGGGGAGAGGCCGTACGTGTGCAACATATGCGGGCAGAGTTTTACGCAGAGGAGCAGTTTGATGGTGCACCACAAGAAGCATCCTGGAAATCATCCACCGCCCCCTCCCCTGCCGCTCACCAGACTCGCCAAGGAGGCGAACAAGTCATAGCGTTTCTGGACGCAGGAATGATCGGAAGGAAGGGGATTCGGGATTGACACGGATCGAATTCGTTTGATATTTGCTCGGATGGATTTTCGTCTCGTCGAGGGTTTTCGTTTTTTCCTTCCAAAGGGAAAAATTTCCGCTTTCCACGTCCAATCCGAATCTCTCTTACGTTACGCTTTTTTGATTCCATTTGCGCTTTTTTTTTTTTTTTTTTTTTTTT